TAATTCAGAGTCATACATCTAATGCTAATATTACTGTCCCTAAAATGATTAGGTGGTCAGATGTCAATTTACCTAAAGAATGGTTTTTAACCACTGAATGCCCCCCTAATTCAATTCAACGTAGTTTAAATGATTTAGACTATATTCAACCATATTTAGATGGTACGGTTAAAATTAGTTTTGATAGGCCAGTAAAGTCAATAGTCCAATTAGAACAATTACCTACACCTAGTCAATCTTTTAAGCTTCCAGCAAGGCATTCGTTGGCAGAATCGTCTTCAATAACAGAGCGAGATTTAGAAGCTGATAAAGCCCTAATAGATTTCAAAATTAATGAATTAAGAAAAGCCAAGCAAGTAGCTCAAACAAGTTACAATAGAGCCCCTACGGCACGTCCTGAGCCAATGCAACCAGAGTCACCTACTAAGTCAGATATGCAAGATTCTACTTTTGAAGTTTAGAATTGCGATGCCAAATTAAGAGTTCTTAATAAACAGTTTAAAATTCATTGGTCAAAATTAGATGCCCATTTCCAAGCTCCTGAAAATGCCGAAAGGAAGGCCAAGTATCATGATTCTTTCCCCCAAGCTCAAAGAAAAGAAATTTTCAATGAATGGAAAGAATATCTCAAAGCCACTAGGTCCAAGTCACCTTATCTAGATTATGTAGAAGCCAAATATCTAGGTCAAAAGTTAGTTACTTTAACCCAGGAAAAATGGGAAAAAGCCGATGCCACCAAAGTTGTCAGTACGCACCCCCCAGTTGAAACAATAATAATTAATCATAGAAATACCAAAGTTGTTGCAAGCCCTTACAAAGTAGCTGAGTCGAAAGATGAGCCAGTAAAAAGGGTCATAGAACAAAATAATTTTGCCAACACAAGCCTAATAGTAATAGGTAAGCAACTAGATAAGATAGAAACAAAAGTCGATAAGCTAATCCCACAGGAAGTTACTCTTAAGCCTAGAAAAGAAAAGCCTTTAGTCCACTTTGAGTTAAAACCAGAATCTGCCCTAAAAGTCAGTCCAACAATGCGTAAAATAGAAGAAATGTTTCAAGAATTAACCCCAGTTAAACCAAAGCCTAATAAAGAAAAAGACAAAGGAAAGGAAGAAGAAGCCTCAGTTAAAGTCTTAAGTATTGATAATATTTCCTAGAATGACTTTGTCCCACCATTTGACTACATAATGGCGGTTCATAATCCTGGTGTCCCAATTAACCTGATAACTCCATTTTAGAATCCATGGAACCTTGTATTTGGCAAAGAAATGGAGAAGCATAGGGAAGAACTTTTCTTGCTTAGTTAATTGATGCTTTTGACTAAAATAATTAATTGTGGGCTGAAGGCCTACTGGAATGATTTCCCAACAGGGGCCAACAATGTTCCACCATTGGAGAAACCAGCATGGAAAATAGGGCTTAAATTTGGCATCAAAGTTCATAAACCATGAATGACTGAAATCCTCGTGCTGATGGAATAAAATTGTGTACCAGGCATCAATGTAGTCTCCATAATTATAAGTAAGGCCTGATTGAAGTGGTAATTGATCATAGGCATTTTTGCTCCAATGTTCTGGCTTAATGACTTGGCGTATATAAAGGGCATGAAAAATTGTGGAGCTAAGTGATTTTAGATGGTATAAAGATGTTTTCATTTCCAGAGTCATGCTTAGAGATGACAGTAATCAAGCCTTTTGGAAAGAAAAGTTCATAAATGGTCTCCCCAATTTATTTGCCCATAAGATTAGAGCAGTCCTAAGCAATGAATCAGGTCAAATTAATTATGATGAGTTAACTTACGGTAATATAATTAGTACGATCAATCAAGTCGGCATGAAAATGTGTGTACATTTAAAAATAGGAAAATCAATCCAAGCCGATAGTAAAAATGCCAAGTATAAATTAGGTAATTTTTGTGAACAATATGATCTAGCACCGGTCCCACCGTCTAGACAAATCAAAAGAAGCCATGATAGACGCTTTAGTAAAAGACGCCATTATTCTCG